CCAGTTGTGGTATAAAAAGGTCGAATGGTTAGATAGCAATTGGTTATTGGTTGCCCAATTGAATAGCAGTGTCAATACGTATACATATGATCAATTAACACCTAGCCTGAGGTATCAATTTCGTCTAAGGGGACAAAATCGATTAGGTACAAGTCCATGGAGTTCATTAGTATGGACGAAAATGCAGGGATATCTCAATAATACTGGTATGTAAGCGTTAATGGTATCTCCTAATAAATTCAATCTAGGACTAGCTTTCAACAGTCGATAGTACTTGATATTAATACTACTAATAATATTCAATTTGATAAAAATGATCTGATACTTAAGTAAGTATAATTTATAGATGAATATTTTCCCATTTTCATTGTACTCGTATCTATCTTCAGCCATACCCATTCGATTATTTCTATATTTAAACAGAAACGCATACAGACCATTCTACTTGCAACTAAACATATTTTTAATTCCTTTTAGATGAGCCCAATCCACCTACAGGAGTCCACGCAGTAAATGGTGCTAACTATATTAGAGTTATTTGGCAACCAGCTACTTCTCAATCAGTAACTCTATCCCATTACGCTATCCAGATGAGAAGCAATGGGACACTGGAGTGGTATACTGTCAATATTACTTCTCACAGCACGGAAACGCAGACTCAATTAACCAATTTAGCGGCCTTTAAAGTTTATACTATCCGAGTTGTAGCTTATGGACAAAACACTGTCCCTAGTCGACCAAGTGCTAATACCCAGATCTTATATGTTCCAGGTAAATTGATTTATTATAGACATCCAGGTTTTGCGACCAGGAATACAAAATTTATTTCAACTACATTTCCATAGCTTGAATAAAGTATTATCATTATTTTTTATCAGTCTTTAATTAATCAGTACTTCATTTAAACAATCTACACTAACTAGATCAAAGCCAAGTTCCATCATCGGAAAATCACAGTAGAAATCTGGTTCTTGCTTTTCTAGTCGTTGGCTTAACTTTAATTGTTTTGGCCATCATATTCTTTATACATCGAGAGAAGGTGCAAAAGACCATTAATAGGTTGAAGAAGAATGGTAAGTTCATAATTTCCAATGAATAGTTAACTTTAAAGGGCTGAAATTATTACATGTTATACAGTTATTTCGTACAATCTGGAATAGATAGGTTCAAATTTTATCACATTGACTGATTGAATTATTAACTATCTAATTAGAATATTAATAATAGATTAAGTTTCTGTCTTCTTTTGCTACTTGACAAATAGCTGATGAATTTAAAGTATTATGACTGCATAACCTTTACATTCAATTTCTTGACTCCGTTGTCATCATAGGATTTCTTCCTCAAAATAACTCCAATTCACAAAGAAGTAATAGTAGGTGAGTAAGGCAAGATTTCAAATACATTACCATATCTTACTTTACAGGTATTGACGATTTGTAGATATTTTCTTCCTTAAACTTTTGTAAAGTTATAGTTATATTAAGAAAAATCTATTAATAGAAACCAGTACCACATGTTATAGCAATGGATAAACATACGAGCATATTCCTAATATAAAAGGCTCAATTATTATTCATCCAAGTTGTTTCATCTTCGTTAATAACAAATTTAACGCTTTACCTTTCAGAGTTATTGATATATTTCATCAGCATCGTTCAGCGAGCTCATCGAACCATTCCAAGAATAAAGGAAAGAAAACATTTGAAGAGAGGCAAGAAGCGAGCGAAACAAATATCGACGTTGCCATTTCAGATCTTGAAGATTTAAAACAACAGACTATACCAGCTATCGTTATTGGCACGGAAATAGATTCGAATTTAACTGGAATGAAGAAATTTATGAGCGTTAGCGACGGTACAAAGAATAAGCATGACAAACAAGCTAAAGGAGGCAGTAGTTCAGGAGATGAAAACTCCAGTAAGAATAAAGATTTTCGCACGACCAGAGTTATAGTTCGTTCTAAAAAAGAGAAAAAATCTCCTACGGATCGACCCACAACTATTGCTACCTTAGATCGATCATCTAGAGTGATGATTCCACCCAATCGATACGATAGTTTAGATAGAGCTAAAAGTATTCAAGATAAAAGATTTTCAACCTTGCCTACAACGCTTAATTTTATGCCTTATGAAAGTTTTATAAATTACTCACCAAGTAAAGGCAAAGAAGAAGAAAATGAAGAAAAATCAGCTTCAAGATCAACGATTAAAGCCCCAGACCATGAATATGAATCAATAAAAAGGGACTCAAGCGTAACTGCTATTTCAAAATATAGCAGTCGAAGTAGCTTACATAATTCTCAAAATTACGCTAAATTGGAAGGAACGGTAGCTGCTATGATTGATACAACAAGCCGATCATCAGAAGTTACCCATGATAGTTTATCTGCTAGTTTTTATCATACTTTACCATCAGGAATAGATGTACCTCCAATGGTGAAAAAAATTAGACGATTTTCCGACGATAGCAGCACTAATAGTACAAGTACAAATAGTGCTAGTCTTCCACCACCTATATCATCGTCTATCAAGTCGTCAAGGCGACGTGATAGTTCTAGTTCAGTTGCTAGCTCGAATATAGCTGGAAATCATCACTACGAGGTAGTCAATAGGCCATTAAAGTATGTCACTAAACGAGGGCGTGCAAATAAAACTACCTATATTGCAAACAACGACGATCTTTGCAAAGATGAATATGGATATTATCAAATCAAGCCTATTCTTGGCAAATTAGATGAGGATATCATTGTTGCTGATCATTATGATAACTCAAGTGGCTATCATTCCAGGGAGCATATTGATAAAACAAGTACTGGTACAACAGAAAGACTACAATATCAGCAAGCTGTAGAAGAATATTTTAGCGTCATTGATGACATAAGCAATACCAGCAATAGCGAAATAGCCGAGCAAGATTCAATTGTAACCAAAGATACTGCAGATAGCCGATCGAGTACCTCTTATAGCCCATCGATCGAAACAACAGCGGAATCTAACCATGTATCGACAACATCGTTAAGTAGTGTTTCATCCAAGGCTGTTTATAGTTATTTTTCACGAAATAATAGCGATACTAAGGAAGAAGTTAATAGCAATCAACATACTCCATCCCAATCTTCAGGTAGCCATGCTGCCAATTCACCTGATGATATCAAATCAATTACAAGTCAAAAATCCAGTTCTGATGGAGGTAGTGCTACGCTGAAAAAATTTCCCTATAAAGGTATTGTTGCAAGATTTCGTGATGATGCATCGCAAGATGGTAATAGTTCAGCTAATTCCGATGGAACACTTCGCAGAATTCAAATAGAGGATAAGATCGAGAAATCAAGTAATAACGCAAAGGTTGAAGGTAAAACTACTCGGATACCGGCCCAATCGTCCATCTAGCCTGGATGTATTCAGATGAAAAAAACCTGCGTAACATGGAAAAAGATTTTTACTATAGAAACATTGAGAAGATAAAAGTTCCTAAAATACCAGCTCAATTATCTATTAAATTCAGACATGAACTAATTAAAGTAGTTTCTTTTTGCTATAATAGTAGGTGGCCCTCTAATAGACGTATTAATGTATCCTACAGTTCTATTGAAAATAACTACTATTTAAATTGTTATGCTTAAAAGAATGCTAGCGTTTGAAAGCACTTAAAATAGATAATACAGTGCGCAAAAACCTTACTTTGATAATCCTATTTACCTTCTTTTTGTAACCGCAGAATAGAAATGTTGAAATGGAATCCTTAATGTACCTTATCATTGAAATATTTCATGCTACGTATAATATCAAGTCTCAATCAGTGATATCATGTTGTTGTATGAGCTTCTATTGTACAATATACATATTACCTGTCTTCTATGATATGTTTTTAACTTATTTTTAAATTGATTGGCAGTTTAATACACCATTTTATTACTCGTGCAAGCAGCTATTACAATCCAAATGATATACATGTAATGTACATTTTTTTTCATATCCAAGCCTATATTTATACCATAAATAGAACTAACAACCTTGAGCATAGCGCAAATCATCCACTCTAACCGTAAATTGCCTAATTTTAATGGTTAAAACGAGCGACAAATTCTTTAAACGCAAAGAATAGATTACTTGAGAAGGTATTTTAACGCGATTCCTTTTTTTATTATAGCATTTACGGATAGGCTGATAATTTAATACTTCTGTTTGTCAAAATAAACCAAAACAATATAATAATAAATTTAAATTTGTTATCACCTTTACTTAAATACATTTTTCGAACTTTATGTTGTATTTGTTTTACTAGGCCTGTGGACTACAGTATCGGCTTAGCATGAGTAACTTTGCGTCAACATCTTTACCCAACACAGGCATTAATTTATTGATAAAATGCATCGATATAATCATAAAAGTCCTGCATTGATGAAGATGAGTAAAATGATGACACTGTCTTTATACAATATCATTAGCATCAGTTGCCAAGTAATATCATAGAATTACCATTTTGCTGACACTTTACAAAATCTTTGATGTGATATAACATTGAAATTTCATTAATAATCAATATATCATGTATGCGTAGTCTTTTTAGCGTAAAAGGGAGATGCGAGTGTATGTATGTATTGTATCACATACATACAAATTACATCAAATAGCATCTGTTCATTACAAGTCGTTAATCTATATTTTAATCGTTATTGTATGCTGAATCAGTGCTGCAAGTTAATTGTTAAAAGCCACCAATGTTAACTACGTTATAATTACAGTACGTTGATATGCCACAAAATTACCGAGATCATATCGTATATTAGTTTTGTTGATTTGTTGAAGTGAATGCAATCGCTAGTAATTCAAAGGAAGTTCCACCATAAATATTGAAATAACTTTACGTAGGCAACAAGACACAATCGATGTGATATTCGAAATGGAATATTTACAAGAGTAAAATGTATACCACAATATCATCTCGATGAAAAATGTTGGGAATAATTTCAAACTTATCAAATAGAATGATCACCTTTAAGGGTCAAAAATAAAATCATAATTATACGGATTTGGAGAATAACTTTTATGACTTAAACTACTAATTAGACCAATGTGAGAGACAAGATTAGGCAATATTAGAAATTTCTCTAATTTATTCTTTTTAATAAAGTCATCGATAATAAAATCAATAGGTCGTTCGAGGCTATTATTGGCTAAATAATCGGCTAATAATATGGCTTTATCGAGAGGATAAATTATTGCTGGTGTACAGCACTCAGGCGCTGGGACCAGGGTATAAAATGAACGACTTAATTTGCGTAATTCGATCAAGTGTTGTCTACCAAGTAAAGCTAAAAACAAGATGGCATAACACAATACTATAATGAAAATGAGCCAAGATAGAAATATACGCCGATATCCCCTTAAAAATATATTTTTCCAGGATAGAATATTCCAAACGATGGCAAAAACAGTAGCCAATTGACCAGATGTTATGATTAATTCAGGTACTTCTGGATTACCCCAACCTTGCCATTTTTCAGGATAATATAATTTAATAAAAGCCCAAGTTGAGCGCGATAGACTGTCAGTAGGTAAAGTCTTGTGAATAATGTAATGTAAATTTTCGATGAAATCGGTAGTTGGCAATGCATCATCTTCCAGTATAATAATATAACGTGCGTTAGTTTGGATACATTTTTTTAAGATATAAAGATAATCGACAGATTCTTTGGATGCAGTCCCATCGTTATATTGTTGATTTTTCGATGATGATCGAGTGACAATTGGCAGATATTTGGATAATTGAACAGCATCACGATTGATTTTAGGAGGACTATTAGCATTATAAATAATTAAGGTAGTCGATGTGTCCTTATAAATTTGTGGTATTAATCTAGCAACAACTTGAGTTAAATATTTTGGATTATATTTCCGCCCAGTGGATACTAAACCAAAACAGAATTGTTGATGAGGTTGATGAAGGCGTTTGTTGAATTCTTCCTTTAATCGATCAGGACCAATATTTTGTATAAATTGTTGTAATTGTTCGTTAGCTTTATGAGCTCTTGCTTCATTTTGATGTAATTTCTTATTAATATAATTATTCAATTCATGCTTTTTATAATAATAAGAAAATGATAAATTACGACACGTTAAAGGCATAATGACGAGGAACGTTACAAAAAAGACTAGGCTTGCAATGGCCAAAACCGATATCATATACCGTCGTAAAGCATAAGTTTGCTGTGTCGAGCTAACCATATTGGGATAATAATGGCTTGAATTCATCGATTAGTGTCTGCTTTGAAGATTGCGGAACGAATTCAAGTTTTGCCTAACCAGAAGAAAAGGATAACACGTTAATTTTCTAGCGGATAGTACATTATTTTACACCTACTGGTAGCACCCACGAAATTACTCTATCACCTACATCTATATGCATCCATTCACAGTGTCATGACAGTGTTATTAATGTTGTTGTTGCATCTTTTCCTGATGCCTATCCCAAATGATTCCTTGTTATTGTAATTAGTGTGTTATCAGATCGTCTGTAGATAGATAGTATTTGCTTACTATTGGATTAGAACAATACCGTAGGAACGAAAAAGACGCTTTCAATACTTTATGGAGTGACAAAATTACATTACTAGCCAACAAAGTAATAGAAATGTAATTTAATAGTGAGTTTACTTTCACAACTTTTGGAGGAATATTCTCGTTATGAATGAGAAGAATGGATAGACTTTTGGATTTATAATCATACAATAGAAGTAATTTCTTCAAGACTGGATGAGAGTCTAAAATATGTTATAAATTAGAAATACACCGTTTGTTGGTACAATAGGAATATTTAATTTAAAAGATTCTATTGACTATTTCATACGCCATCAATATAATCGTCTAGAATACAGTACATAATTAAGTTCTTCGATGAAACTGCAGTCTACCATTTGTAATCATGATTGAAATCCATCATTAAATCATACTGTATCCTGTACCGATCACAACTGAAATAAAGAAATGACTAAAATCTACTGAAAGATTTTAGTTGACTAAACCACCTAGACACTACCCTGTAGGATTTACTACACAGTTTCAATCCATTGCAAGGGCTATACTTTACCCAATCCAAGGATCATTGCATATCCATTAATACTCGTAAATGATAACGTATGGTATACGACATTTTCAATGACTAAAAAATTGACTTAAATTAGTCGAAAAGATTGTTATACTCTGATTGTTATTCAATTTTACCCAACGCTTCTATTTCTTATTGAAGGCAGACTAGCATCTTAATGATAGAGGATTCTTCTGACTTTAATGTACAACAGACTACAAGTGCCTAAGATCAACTCATCCAAGAGTCGATTTTCTCTTCTTGTTCGTTCCATTCAAGACAATAACCATGAATTGAATATATAAATATAGTAATTACTAATTAAAATGGCTACCTATCCTTCAAAGTAATATAAACATAGAAGTACATTCTGCCAACGGATTGATACGCAATAACTGAATAAAAGGTGAATTTACGACATTTCAACATCCAAACCATGAGTTTAATCTGCTTACCGGACTTTCAAATAGCGTTGTAGAATAATTATAATGAATTTGTGTTATTCCAACTTGCTCATCGATCAAAATGCAAACAACTGGCGTTGATAATGTCAAGCATATCATCAGTTATAGCTTGGATAGCACAATGATTACTTTCATTTTAATGTCATGCAACCGATCTATTGGAAGGAAAGGTTCAAATCCAACTGATTAATAGGCTTGGATGGATTGCCTACTGTGATCAGGCACGTTTCTTGATGAGATTTTGCAGTCTTTGGGAAAGTATCTGCTAGGAATCTGCGAGAGCAAGCTCTATACTAGTCTATACAGTATACGTACTGTATACGTACTGTACTATACAAGCTAGATGAAAACATGTCCGTCCAGGTCCATTCCGTTGTGTTGGCGAGAGCTTCCTTGGGAGCTCCCATCGTATGGACTGGAATGATGTCATGATTAATTCTGCCGCATTAAAATGAACTTACTCACTCTCTCTCTATCGAACTAGAGAGAAAACTGATCTACAAGGCAAAAAATTTTAGATAGAAGAGGAGTATTTAGTAGTCACTGGTATGACCGGGGAGCTTGTTAATCAAGGGGTTTGAAAGAGATACTGCAGAACCTTATTCGGAGATTTGTAGCATACAGTTTCTGCACTTAGGGTAACAGTCGGGATGCATCTCGTGATTTATAATATGCTTTTATGGTCTCATTTTGAAATACTGAGATGTAGCATGCTATGGCTGAAGTTTCTGGTAAACCTATCGAAATTACCGTAGGTACAATCCTTTATGATAGTAAATTGTTGTCTTTTGTCTGTTAGTTAAGCTGTGTTATATCCGCGTATATTGAGTACGAGTAACAAATTACTTCACTTACTGAATTTCGTTGTTTCTTTCTTAACTGTAAATAAATCACAGTATTTTTGACTCATATGGTGCTGTTAACGGTTTCCAGTGTAGAATAAACTTAGAGATCTAATTGGAAGTATACTAATCGCTGTAGCCTATAAAATGCGATAACGTCCTCCACAGCTTTGTGCTTGGTACCTTTGCTGCAAGTTAATAACATTGACGTGGTATGTATTAGAATAGCAAACGTAAATCGAAGCTTTAGCCTATAATAAATAATTAAATTAGACTATATCTTGCAATCGTAATTTGCAGCTGCTCATACTCTAGAAGTACTCTGCCATGCTTTCTACAGCAATTAAGTCCAGACAGTTAACTACGGTATAACCAAATCTCTATACATCAAAATTGCAGCCCCTTGAATCAAGAAAGCAGATCTTGTGGTGATTGTAATTGGCCAACATATAGTGTCGGAGCTAAGTTAGCTAAGTGAGCTATAAACACTTATTAAGACCCAAACTTCATTATGCTGGTAATAATTAGCACAGGATAGAGCTTTGGGCCTATAATTATAATGTGAGAATTGTAATTTGATACTAGCTATGCAATAAGGATATTCAGTATCTTGGTGGTTCATGCCTGCCAAATTATCGTAATACAGTGTCTAAATAGCACTTGATAACTATACTGTAGTCTTTTTTTGCTACTGCTTAGGTTGAGTGGGTTATGAAGAAGTGAGAAGAAGCAACTCGTCGTTTGGGATTGAACAAATAGGGGGATGTTTCTTGAACCCAGAAATGGACCAGAACTGCTTCATGCTCTTTCTAACTTATATACTCAATATTTTAATTACATTCACGCTGCACTAAGGACTAGCAGTATAGTATACAGGACTAGGAATTATTGAAGAGTCTCTAAACTGACTGTGGCCAAACGAGTAACAAGTAACGAGCTAATGAACAGCTCTAGCTAACACCAGGAAAATGAGGGAATCTTTCTCGTTACCATGGAAACGGTATTGGATATAATTCTCCCACTCCTACAGCAAGCCCCAAAACATCCATCCGGTAAATGATTAAGACTAAGTACACTGGAGATATTCTACTCTTTTAGCAAATGTATAAAAAAGTACAGGGGCTAGTGATTCTATTTTATTATTACTTTCTACGGTGGGAGTACTGCTTGTAACTTATTCTAACGCATTCAGTAGTGCTGTGATCGAACAATATTGTCTACGACTAACATGAGTATTACTAGAGTAAACTGTCGAACAATGAGACCAACAGTCTACCATCACATAATTCTATATGTACATTACGCCGATTGACCGATTCTGTTATACAAAACAGAATATTTTCTGCACTCGTATAACTACCTTCTAGGCGTGTGCTGACTATTTAAATAGAACATGACCGTAGTTACACTACTAGCGCAACAGTAGTGTACCGGATATTCATCCATTACTAATGTAATAGTGCCTCTAGAATAACACGAATAGTATTGACTGCATCACTCAACTACCGATAGAAGTTGAAGGAATGCTGGTCAATCGATCATAGGCGTAACGTTGACTAGCCATGAAAAGCTAGATACATAAGTAGATTAGCATATAGACTATATCGACAAGGAGTATTACATTTCTGCATACGTATTAATGTGAAATTTTAATTTTAATACTTTACCGACATTGTCATAAAAGTAATGCTACCTCCTTCCAATAATACGCTACTATAAACTACACTATTGCAACAAAAATTGTTGGATACCCATCTACGGTAGTATAAAGCATCTCCAATAAGGACGAATTACCGCAAGAAACAATTCTAACGATTGATTCAATTACGCGCTCTGAGATATAGTTTTAAAACAAACTCTAACTTGTATTCCTATTCGTGGATCGAATTTAATATCAGAATTGGAAACTATTGAACATCATGTCTATGGAAAGGCAGTTCTTTATCAAAGATTCGCATAACAAGCAAATTACAGCTATTGGTTATCATCCAGCACGCCGGGTTTATATCATCGGCTTCGAAGGTGAGTTTGACGATACAATCTTAAGATAGATCAGTGCACTTCATGACAACGTTAGAACGCTACATTTATCTGGCACTAACTTAATATATAATTATTAAACTGTATAGTATGTCTTGTATCTGATAATATTGTGAATATCTCTTAAACATGGATTACTTGATATCAATCAGTACTAGAAAGGAATTTCAAGGGTGGTGTAGTTTAAATTAACGCTGTATTACGTAGGCGCTATCATTACTAGTAGTTTTCTTTTAGAACCCTACATTAATCTGGCACAAACATAATATATAATTATTTAACTGTATAGTATTTTTCGTATCTAATAATATAGCGAGTATATCTTAAACATGAATTACTTGGCATTAACCAATACTACAAACGAATTTTAGGGATAGCGTCGTTTAAATTAACGATGCATTACGTAGGCACCAGCATTACTAGTAATGTTCTTATATCTTGGTTACATTACCGTCAAACTTCTAATAGCTTATGATAATGTCTATTTATAGCTCAATTTCAAGCCAAAATCAAGTGTGACATTACTATTCATTCCATAATCACTTGACAATTTGAAGAGAATGCGATCACGTCAAATTGATCATACGGTCAAAAACTTATGATACATTCTTCTAATTGGTTAGCTAATAACAGCTTTCATATTCTCTATCGTTACATTTCAGTTACTATCCCTTATTACAATCAGAAGCAAATTTTCAAACTTTTCTATCTAAATATAGTAATAGCAATCTTGTACTGTAAATCTCGTCTTCACACTACTAAATATACTAATACTTGTATTCACTCCTTTATTGCATAATATTGCACAATTAAAATCACAACCAATTATCTAACTTTTCAAAATATGGTGCTTAAAAATATTGTACACCTAGGATTTCTATTAAACGAAGAAATCTTTGCAACTCTTGCACAAGAGTATTAATCATTATTTATAATCCTTCTGGTTTGTAAGGAGATACTGTAAGATCAAAAATTTTTGACCACAAGGAAAAAATTTTCATGGACTACTTGTATAATAATTCAGATGCCACAAACTATAAATTTTGCATACTACAAGCTGTTTCTTGACAACAAATCGTTCTAATAAAACTATAATACTGTAGATGGTCTTACTAAAACTATGGAAGTGGATACAGGCCAAGTGATATCGTCAACCCAATTACATTCCGGTTGGATAACGGATTATTTTTACTGGTAAGGAACAAATGATTAATTCGATGAAATTAAAATTGTAGCTTAACAGTAGCATTTCAAATTCGAAATTGTCTATTGCTACATATGATAGGGCTGAATCAAAACTTTTTTTCTCATCATCTAATGATGGAACAATTATTGCTTGGGGTACCGCTGGATCAGCACATGAGATTTTTGGTGTAAGTTGACTGATTTTCAGCTCCTATTATATGTAATGTTGACATTCATATAGAAATAGTGTTATCTTACCAATTGAATGCCATGCCTCATTTAATTTAAAAACTTTTCAAAGTAAAATTTTAGAGCTTTTACTAATTGTCTTAATTTAAACAATTGTATTTTCTTATAATTATTTGTAGCTGGGATTGCCAATCTATGCGATGGGCTTTAATTCGCGAAAAAATTTACTAGTATTGGGTGTTAAAAATGGTGTCTTTTTGTTTGCTTTAAAGTATGGTACGTGAACAACGATGTCCAGTAGTAATCATTTATAAGACGATTTTCTTATCATTTTCGATATTTCATTTTTTGATATTTCCTTCATTTTAGAACTATCCAAAGATGCTAATAGCCTATTTGAGAATGACACACGTAATATATACAAATTTTAAATATATTCTGAGAATTGTTTACATGCATTTTAAGTCATCGGAAGTTATCAAACTTCAGGAATATTAATTCCTATAACTACTGTAGTGCAAAATTAATTATTACGTCTATTATTCTCTTTAGTTAGCAATTTCTTAGCCATCGGATATTTTAAATTTAATTTAAGTAAAGATAGATACTGTACAGCTATACAGTAATCACAAATGCAACCAAAAAGAAAGCTATTTGAAAATTTAATTTCTGCAATAGCATTATTATTAAATATCAAGGCTTATTTTAATATAGCCTTTGTTTCGGAAGAAAACGATGATATTGTCAAGTGCATCCGATGTAATGAATCTCGTGTTTATACTGGAAGGTAAAACATTTACCTATTAAGCATTTCGTTAAATTTATACGCAGAGATAATATTAGAAGTAATCGTACTACTAAATTAAATCAGCCGGCTTATATGCCGGCCATGGTACTGATTTGATATGTAGACCTGTTTTAGTGATGATCTTATATTATAAGTTTTACTTAATTGCAGTTATGACCGGCGCTTAATTATCTATGACGCCTATTATTATCCAGGGGATGTTGGATTAAAAATTGTAACCAAGTAAGTCTTGAATATCGTAAGCATTTAATTAATAATTGAGCAAAGTTTAAATCAATTAGTATCGCATACGTATAATATATGGGATTGTTCAACTACGGAAACGCAGCTGTTAAAATTAATATCAGATTACCTCCGGTAATTTAATGAATGGTATTGATATTTACATCCGGTATATGGTATAGATATCTTGAGCCATTCAAAAAGTAGTAGTTATAATTGTTAACGTGCATAGTTGGCGTATTATTAAATTATCATACCGCATAAAAGATGAATTTTGTGGTACAATTTATTTATATACACTTAAGAAATGATAAGCCAGTTAAAATTCTAAAACTGCGTCTAATATGCCAATTAGTTAAATACGTAGAGCATGCTATCTTTTTATATGTTCGTTTAAAGCTATATTATCAGAATTCATAATTGAAAATAACAAACAATTTAACGTTTATAGCGGAGGAGTCTCTATTCTAATATATAAAGATTAAAGTCTATTCCTTAATTATACTATTTAAATTTAATTACATAAATCATTTGTAACATAATTTAATTTACAAAATTTCATAGAGTTAATGCAGCCCATGATGCTGGAATAACATCATTAGAAATTTTTTCGGATAACGAAAACAATACTTGGTAAAGCAATAATCTCTTGATGTTCGTATTGTTTGTGCTAGACAGTTTTAATGTTACTGAATCTTCAGTTACCGTTAGTAATCTCTATTTTTGATTTAGGATTGTAACTGGATCATTTGATAAAATTGTTAAAGTTTGGTCACAAGATGGTAAAGTCATTTTGAAGCATGATGCTTTCACGTATGTATTAAGCACGCGAATGAAATATATAGTCATCCAGCATCTAAAGAGTTACTCTAAATTTAAAATTTCTGTAAAGAAGAACCGGTATTGGTTAAAATTTTTTATGTACATTTTATGATGTCATATAAACATTTTAATCTATAATTCAATTGATGATAGGGAAGCAATTAACGATTTATGCTACGTTCAACGTTCAAAAACCATATGGATAGCTGCTGGATCACCTAAAGCTAATTTATTTGACCCGAAAACTGGAGAAGATGTAAATACTAGCTATTATCTATTATATTGCGAATTTAATACTTATTTAATGAATATAATGATAAATGAAGATTTATGTATTTATAAAAACAAATAAAAAATTACAAATTGACGGTTATGATAGGTTTCTGATTTTATCGGAACATTTCAAAATGATGATTATGAGGGAGAAAAGTAAGTGTTTTACAGTTATGGAGATGATTATGAGTCTCTCGAAATCCATTTAGATTCAAAAATAACTTGGTTAATGTTTTCTGCTGGAATATAATTTAATCCACCTTATCTTAGCTATATCTTTACATCTTGTAAATTTTTCTAAATTTGTTTAAATTCAAAAACAACTTGCTTAATCTACTTTGCTGGAATATAATTTAATTCATCTTATTTTAGCTACATCATTACATCTTTAATGTATGTTCACGAAATGAATACGGTTATTGGTAAGACTTACATTTAATCTATAAGAGGTTTCTCAATGAGTTGTCATCTAATATTAGAAAAAGACTCTTTACAGCTATAGTTGATTCTATCAAACTGATTGTATCGAAGTCATAAAAGTTCGTAAGTAGTATATGCAATGTGATAAATTTGGAAATTTATTTAGCATCAACGAATCGAAGGCAGATTATCACTTGGAAGTACAATCCATCTGGTTGTGTGACTGCACTCAAATTTCATAGTGGTTTGGATTCATTAACTTATAGTAAGGAAAATTTAATCTCTTCCGATAATGTATGGCTTATTAACATCAGTTAAATAAGTAGTATATTAAAATTTTTACATTCTTATTCGAACTTAGTTTTTAACTGTTAGGGTCACTTCAGCCAGAAGATCAGTCTCTAGTGTTATTCTTTTATCGTATTAGTAACAAATTATTGAATTAGTAGTACTCCATATCACAGTGTTTGGGCTATCGAATGGAATAGATAAAAGTTGGATTTATTTTGAAGAAAATATTTTTAAATGTCTTACGTCGATTATGATGCAATTTGAATTGTACTTACATAAGTAAAATAGATACTGTCTGTGTAGGCTGATATTTACTAACTATAAATGAATTTTTATCTGATTGCACTTCGGGGATAACTAAGATAATTATTAATTATATTAAGCGAACAGTAAAAGGCATTAAAATTACTAGATAAAATAAATGAAATAAGTAATAGCTTCATTAATCATAGTATAAATTAATAGATAGGCCAGCAATTACCATATAGCAATGTCTAGATTATGTGAATTCTAAAGAAGTACATTAATAATAATTTAATTCCAACTATTTAAATATGTACACAGTTATTGATGATCGGGCCAGTAAATGCATGAAATCATCAGAATGTTGCTTCAAATATTAGTGTTATGGATTACTAAATAAGCCGATATAATAACAGATGATGAAGTTATTTCAGATATTATCAGTATTTATTAATTACCGGAAGAATACAAAAGTGTACTAATATGCAGTGACATTACTCTAAAAAAAAGCAATTAGATTGTTCGATTTATGGGAAATATTAATTTTAAAGATAACGATAGAATTTTATTGTAAGATTAATAGGTATGTATTATCATTTTGTAACTAGCATACATTTATTTTTTACTTTTTAGCTCGCAAAGCTCCAATTTTAATGTTTACTGGTACTACTAAAGGAGAAATTGCCAAATGGGAGCAATTGCAAGCCAATAATTTCACTTACACGAAAGAAATTTATAATTATTCCGAAGCCACCTCAAAATTAGCTATACAATTAATGGAAAAGCAGGAAGAAGATTGCAGAAAAGTCTATAACGTCAATCGTGAAAGATTTCTATCGTCAATATCATCGATTATTACCACTGGTGATTCTAATCCATCTCGACAATCATTCAGTCCCTCAATACTATCGTCATCATCCAGCGAAAGCACGGTAATAAGCAGATTTAATCAGAAAACAACAAATAGTATAAATTTATTTCTCTGAAATACCAGCACAAGATTTAACCATAAATTAGTTCTTTACTTACTTACCTTTCCTGCATGACTTCTCGTATAATTCTACAATATAGGCATTAAATAGAGTACGTAGTAGCAACAACTGCGCATATATCAAGTCTATCTTTATTGAAAGCCTAGATGACTTGGTTATTGCTTCAGAAGACAGCAATATTTGTAAGTTAGTGACATAATTTGAAAAATTTGGAGAGGACGAATAATATAATTGAATAGAATAACGGCCATTCCAATTATTAAATGTTGATTTATTGAGAATATCAATACGTTTACATTCATACTTTCAATTTGTTGCTTTCATGCTATAAGATCAGTATCTCATGTACTTGACAAAATCTTAAAGTATCCATTTTTATAAATATGTGTAGATGTTTGGGGCTTTGATGAAACCGCTATCAATTTATTGAACAATATTGATCCTCCTAAAGATGCAGGCCTAGTTGAGAGATATTCTGTATTGCTTGATGCTAATTCAGACTTACTAAAGAAACATGGTAGCCTACAAGCGGTAGGTATAGAATAGATTACATATTTTTATTAATAACTGTGTACATAGAGCCATTGCAACATAGAGATTTTATAGCGATTATATCATTAAATCAATTACGTTTCTATATAGCTTTTAATGCATTTACTACTGTTATAAATCAGTATAGGAAATTTTATAGCGAATTTGTTCAAATGATAGCTTACTAATGATCTTAATTATGAAAAATTGCTCCAAGCATACTTAATTAATCTTTTCACATGCTATCATTTCATTAATTATCTGCAAAATCAGCCGATATTTAAAAGTATTCTGAATATGGATATTTCCATGTAGAATTAAGTTATTGTAATCTGCAATTATCTAGGATCAGGAATCTGTTAATAATCGTGTTGCGGGCTTCATTTGTAAATTTGTTTTAACTGGTCATACAGGCTGTGTGACTAGCTTAGCAATTGTTGAACGAGGGAGTGGATATGACACAACTTATTTGGTGGGTAGAACTTATTTTTATATGGATTAAGGCTGTCATCAAGTTCTATAGGGTGCTTTGGAAGTTACATGGTAACAGAGCCAAGATAATTGATTTGAAAATGTAATTATTTCAGATTAGCGGTGGTTGGGATCGTAAGATCTATGTATGGGATTTAGAAGCAAAAAAGTAAAACATTTGCCTTTTATGAGTGCACACACTATGCAGATTCTGCGTTTAGAGTCGATATTATTATCTGAATTTAAATATGGATATTAATTTCTACTACTTTGATTGTAATTATTTATTCCAGGCTTCATGATATTTTGCGAGGGGATGATGATTATAGCAACAATAACGATGAACTAGCTTCGGATGGTATTATATTGGACATTGAGTATTGTAAAGAGAGGTATGACCAGGAGAATTTTGTTGTATTTTGCATATTTTGCGATTTGTGCTGTTATATTAGATAGAATAGTTTAAGCTTTAGATTTTCAAACATAAGCATCAAGCTAATTGGTAGTGTGTTACAGTACAAAAAGCATAACGAGCGCAGGTCTAATTTATGATATATAATATTTGCTTGAAATATTACTTATAAGCATAGAATGACAGATAGAATCAAATATTATTATTTATTTAATAGTGAGTAAAGTAACAAGGAATTGCAGTACGTGAAATGTAACGAGCGGGCTTTATGCTAGTTATTAAGTTTTTGGATAGATACAGAGAATCTGTTAATCAATTAATTCTCGTATGTTAAGATTGACCTATGAACCCTGGAATCTGATCAAAGTATAGCCTAAACATTATTGTAAATTTCTTAACACCTCATTAGAAAGTCATTATTGAAATTTAGGATTATCGAATTACACCTATCATCATTTCAAATTCCAGAGACAGCATGGGGTTGTAAATAAAACATTGATCTATCAGACCAAATAAACGATCTACCTACGGTGTATTTTAGACCCTATTAGTAAATTAGCAATCATTTATGGAAGAGCGATAATTATTGGGCTAATTGAATAAAAATGCTGTAGTACTGTTTGCATCGTTAGGAAAGAGATGCAAAATTTCTATACAACTAACCAATGTAGCCCGATGATGAATGATTTACTAGAGAATACCAGTACCACTACTGCATCTTCAGTTAGAATTCAATTATATCTCTAATTTTTACCGTATCTTGGTTTAATAGATCGAAAAGTCGGAGTTTATTACAGTAGAAGACTAGCTTATTAGTCGATCAGAACAAAGATGATCAATTAAATACTCAATTATCCTTTCTTGTACAAATTAAGTACCCTATAGATGAATGAATAAGCTGCATAAGATATCTCTTATGATTCAGTACCTTCTGTGCACTGATGTTTTTGTATGGGTATCTGTATGTCATTACTATCGAAAATAGTGATGCCATGATATAGTTTAAAATTCTGAGATTGATTGTGTTACATTCATATAGATATACAGTAACATAATGGGAATCTTCACTAGACTTATTATCCGTAGCTATGGTATAATCATGAAGTTTAAATCGAAAAATTTGATCTTAACTACTCCTATATGGAAACATAGATATTCAATTAAACAGCTATCATTTTATGTATTATATTTAGAAACGAATTCGCCTATGCTTCATCAGATCGCTTAGTTTACGTACGTCAATTTTCATCTCGAGGTTCAGAGATGAGATTAGTTAACGTTTTGCAAGGTCACGATGGCGAAGTAACTCAGGTTTGAATGATAAATAAATTATGAACAATTAGCTACCGTACCCTTCTGATAGATATAGACACGCATATTTATATGCATAGTGCGTAAAAGTATGATTTGTTAATGCGTACTATAGTTATGATGGCTATTAAGTCAGATATAAATTAATATCGAATGAAATATGCTTAGGTAAGATGGTGCGCTCTTCATCAACTTTGGATTACAGGATCTGAAGATGGAACAATAAGATTATGGGTATGAAAATTTCTTTCTATCGATGTCGTTACTAAATAAACATTAGTGGAGGTTCTTAGTCGCTTAGATCTAAATGTTTAGCCATTGATTATTCATAACTGCAAAAAATAACTTTGTCTAAATTATTATGCATTGGTGGCTTCTCTAGACTGCTGATGGAATTTCATATGATACAGTTTTAAATGCCCATGGTAGTGTCGCCGTCCTGTGCATAGATCAAATTAATGGCTGTATCTTAGCTGGTGTCCAACATGCCATTAGGTGCCGTAGAGAAGTTTCGATTAACCCATAAGCGTAACTATTGAATTGAAATAGTATGTTGTATTAATACGTTGCTCTGTCTGTTTACATCAGAGTCTACGACCCGGAATATAAAACATTAGTACAAACAAATTATGGACATAAAGATTCTGTTAGAGACATTATCCATATCCATGAGAGAAATCAGGTGTGGAAATGGGAATTGACAATACATTGTATTTCCTAAGACGATAATAATTTATTGGACCATTTTCATACAATTCATCTTGTTCTTTAACTTTTATTTTAGTATATTTCTGTATCATGGGATAAAACTATTCGAATATGGAATGCATACAAAAAACGTAAGGACAGTTATAAAACGATTTTAATTATATCATTCTGCTATTATTAATAGAATTTAAGACTGACATTATCCAAGATGTATTAATGCAATCTTTCCATTAACTAATCTAGCTACTCGAAAATGGAGAAATATCGATAGAGATAATGAAGAGGCTCGAAAAAATTTCAATTTTAATACCGTGGACCCTGTCGAGTATCAGAATTAAGTTATTATACTTCTGTTACACTATATTCTCAGATGTAAACTAATTCTTAGCAGCATTATTCTCTATAGTGAACTTAGATAATACAATTGAAAATTGATTAATTTAATATATTGTTATTGACTGACAATAATTAATGTATATGCATTCGTAGTTTATACTAGAAGTTTTTCAGAGATAAAGAGTAATCTAAAATGATGATATAAGGTATTACGAGCAGTACTGTCAACGTAGTTCTTTATATAACAGGCAACTAAAGCGATCTGTAATGGACAAATCTAATTTCAATATAGTTTGACCAGCGAATTAATAACGCGGTAATTATAATCGTTGTTACAGTCGTATTGGTGATGATGCTCTGGTTATTTATTTTATTTAATACTAAACATATTACCTATCGATAGCTACAGTTATAAGCGAGATTTCTTAATTTTATTGCACATAAAATGATTACAACCAGTATCCATCATAACTTGACTTTGTTTTAGCGCACTTGTACAACTTACGTATATACCATAACCTCCCGCAATAAGATGCATACATACAATTTGAAGTATACATGACACTCATTATATGTAAATCATTTCAATAATATTATTAATAGGAAACATGTAAAATCAGTTTATGTTCTATTATAAATTAGTTGTATAGAATAAAAAAATTTGTCAGTTCTCTGTAACTGCGTCAGTTTATTTACGATGATCGATGAAGGTATATAAACTGCTTTCAGCAGATCAGTGCAGATATAGTTTAGATAGTTTGTCTGATGCGGTACCAAATTGATACCACCAAAGTACTGTATTTTACATTGCTAATTCTATATACGGATCACCTTAAAGGCAAATGGTCGATCCATAATTAAAGAGCAGAAATAATTTAAATTTTACTAATAACTATCACTGGATGATAATAAGGTGTAAAAGACATTTAATCTATGTTAAATTTAGCCGTAAGGTTTAAATCGTTTTCTGTCGCTCGTACGGTTCAAGTCGGACTCGTATGATCGATCAGGTCTTGCGTCCTGTCTTCTATCTCGATTCCATCCATCATGGTTATACGATGATGGATAACGATCATTGTAATTTCTATGATCTCTATAAAAATGATTGTAATGATCATCGCTACTATAGTGCTGTCGATCGTAAGGGCGATGACTTCTACTATCATGTATATCATAGTTGCCTCTATGACGAGCTCCCATCCTGTCATCGTCGTGTGACCGCTGTCGATGATTATCAATTGATCGATGAGGGCGATATTTGTCATCATAATACTCTCTTGTACTCCTATCAGGACTATGAGGATGATAAGATTGTCCATGTTCACCATGATGGCTTTCGTCATAATATTTTCCTGTATTTGCATCAGGGCTATGGGGATGATAAAACTGCCCTTGTTTACGTAATCTATCCGCATGGCTTCTCATAGAACCTCTACGATCTGAAGGAATATCGACTCGATCGATAGGTCCCTGATCATATCTGTAATTTCTAGAAGGCGCATCTAATTGTTCATCTGCCTGATAATTATCTCTATATCTGTGGTATTGCTTGGAGGAAGCGGAATCTTCTAATCCATCCTCTACAACATGTCCACGATGTCTTTTATCGGCCGCTTCAAGCATTTTATCGAAATCCGTTTCGTCATCACGGTTGTCTACGTTATCATGTCTAACACGACGGCTTTTGTGGATCCTATCTCCTTCTGTAGACGGATAAGCAGGGTCGTAAGGTTCAACGTCATCTTTAGTGTTTGATGCATTACCTGCGTACCGACTCATTGAATCCATTTGTCGATACGGTGTGGAGCTATTGTGATCATTGACATCGTGTTCTGTTTGATTGTGGCCTTTATAGTTAGGATTTTTAACAAATCGTGGGAGATTATTCTCAGCAACAATTCTCTTAATAATTGGATACGGAATCGATTTACGCTCTTTAGAATTAAGATTGACACGCATTGGTTTCTGAAATAGTAGTAGTCCGTTGAATAATTCGGTTGCGTACAGTGCTGAAACATTTCTGTTATAATACACAAATCCATATCCTCTAATGTCTCCAGTAGTATCATCTTTAGGCAAATTAATCCTACTTATTGAACCAGCCTGTAATAATTGACGTAATGAAATGAGTGTTAAATATTCAAAACATTTCTACTTTCTATCTTTCAATTGAAGTGAATTTCAACTCTATCCATATTAACCAATGTCGTTCATTTATTACAATCATTATAATGATAAGATTATTGTCTTCCATCCTCTACAACCTGTCTCTTTCAAAGGTTGCATAGTTCAAACTGAACACGATCTTGCTCAGATTAGATTACAAGCATTTGGAATTGATACAATTAAAAGTCGATCATGCAACAATCAGTTTAGCAAGTAGCAGTTGGTTCTCCAGTATCCAAGTGGATCATCTTGTACTGGATGGTACTTTAGAATGACAAAATGTGCAACGTATTGTAAACTTTAACATTCAGCTAAGGAACGATGAATATTTTTTCGAGATCTATCTCATGTGAGCACTTCGCTAACACATTATCGCAGGAAATATGGTCAATTCATGATCGCATCATTCATCAATACCATAACAATTAGCAATGTCGATGCTGATCCTAAAGTTATTGATACTCAGCCGACAACTACAAACTTATTATGATAGGAAAATTGGAAAGTTTGGTGGAGGTAGAGTATCCTATACGTATTGTATGTCTCATCCGAGCAACTCACAACTACATCATCCATCATGACATTGAATAATGTCTCGGCTGATACTCAGCCGACAACTACAAACTTACTATGATAGGAAAGTTGGGAAATACAGTGGAGGTAGAGTATCCTATACGTATTGGATGTCTCATCGGAGCAACTCACAACTACGTCATCTATCAAGACATTGAATAATGTCTCGGCTGCTACTCAGCTGGCAACTACAAACTTATTATGATAGGCAAATTGGAAAGTACAGTGGAGGTAGAGTATCCTATACGTATTGTACGTCTCATGGCAGCAGTTCACAACTACATCATCCATCATGACATAGAATAATGTCTCGGCTGATCACTCATAACTTACCACTACATCGGCCATCATGACATTAAATAATCTCTCGGCTCATACTCAGCCGACAACTACAAACTTATTATGATAGGAAAATTGGAAAGCAGAGTGGAAATACAGTACAGTACTGTATAATATACGTATATTTCATCTAAGCAACACACAACTACATCATCCATCATGACATTGAATGATATTGATGCTGATATCCAAGTCATCGTTATGCAATTGCATTTGTAGCACCTAACTAGCAAATTCATTTCATCTACTACAGGAAAGAGCGATCTCTTAACACCTAGCAGTCCTAGAAATAATGACACTCGTCCATACTACAGTTTACAAGTAGAACTTCCAATTGTCATTATCACCTTGTCATGATCACGCAGCTCAATACAAAATTTGAATTCATGACTAGATAACATCAACTGACCTTAACAAATAATTCATATAATATCTTATCGGTTACTTTCTTATCTAAATTGCCGACATAAAGAAACAATTCGGAAACTAGGGCGAAATCATCATTTAGTGGCGGATTTTGCCCACTAGCCATTTTGCACAAATTCAACTTGTGAAAGGTAATTCAATGCTTGCAACTGCTTGCAAAGTCTCTTTTGCGGCACTCATCCAGCAATAGACTGGACGATCTCTACTGCACATGCTTGTGCCAACGCAAGATGGCTACCGTTCAGGGCTTTTGAGTAAGGATTTCTCTATGGAGAATTGGATATAGTTTCATACCCTGCACTGTACACAATGTACAGTGTACAGTGTACAGTATAATGCTCGATTACAGTCCATACTGTAATCATGATGGCGCACAAAGAAGAAAGTCAGGCAGGCATAATGGCCTATAGATACAGTATACGGGCACTCAGTCTAGAGTACTGTATAGTATAAAATGTAAACACCTGAATGAGACGGCTTTATCTTGAGTTTAGTCCAGTATAAAAGCAAGCCGGCAACGAATTGGGGCAACAATCGTATAGCTACTGAAGATAGGAGAGCTTTTGGCTAAGGATTTCTATCGATAATTGGGTACAGTTTTATACCATGTATAGTACTAGATTACAGTACAAACTGTACAGTGTACAGTGTACAGTACTGCAATCATCATGCCACACAAGAAGAAAGTGAGGCAGGCATGGTGAGTAATGTACTGTAACCCCTGAAAAAGACTCCTTTTTCTCTTTTATTAGGCTACAATCACAGAAAGTACATCGTTGGAGGCATACGATGTAGTTCAGATGACCAACTAAGTAGTCAGCCATATTTTTAGTAGTGTACAGTACAGTCAACGGTATATTGAAATAGTCGTTGCCTGCCTGCTTGTCCCTCTCTTCTCTTTTTTGAATACTGTACTGTACTGTACTGTACTGTACACTCAGTGTACTGTACAGTCGTCACTGGTACTGTACTGTAGGCAAAGGATATGTACTGTAAAGGCTCCCGTTCTATAGTATAGTATGTTGCTGACGGACGGACTCAATGATGTGCGAGAGAGTGGAGAACGCCTGCGCATCAGGTATGCGAACGATCCTACTAGTAGCCATGACAACATAACAATCACAAGATGCAAGCAAGAAAAGATAACCAACACTACGTTCGCAGACAATATTGAGTCATACTGTACTCCATATCCATACGGCAGATATAAGATAATTCAACTAATTAAGTACAGCAATCATTCGTAAGTTGAACGACCGATACGTGCATTCTCAATCATTTAATTACAGGAATAGTGCCATTAATCCTCAAGTTCTTCATCATGGTAAGTGTGTTACTAGCGGACATGATGTCCATTTAAGAATAGAATTAATCAGTGATCAAATGTTTTTAACCATCAATCATATACTATTTCATAGTTTATCATAATAAATCAAGTGGATGACTTCCATTTTACTTTTGGCGCATACCGTGTCATCATTCACTGCTTAACCAAGTTTAGCTGTTAGATTATACTTACTGAATGCTCAAATAGAGATAGATGTAATAGTTATCTGTACAAAGTGCAATAAAGTAATATTGACTAAATAAACCATATGTATTTTCAATCGATTGGCATACTGATACATTGGTCTTTATCGACTGTACATCCATACGAGATTAGATAAATGTTATTAGTGACTAATAATTAATCAAGTTGTTTACTGCCAACCCAGCCTAACAGTGTTGCCGGATCCGCAGCGTCTGGTGGAAGTGCTTATAGCACAGCTAGTCAAAAGACAAAAAAATATAGAAAGGTCAATCAAACATCTACAGTGGTATGTATAGTATTTATTTCTTTTATAAATATACTTTAATTTGGATAACCATCATGATCTTAGAGAATAATGTACAAATGAGATATTATACTGCTTTTACTCTATCGATAGAGTAGCTGCTATATTCTGCTGTAAATATACTCCTATCATTGAAATCGAATGAAATTATTTAAAAAAAATTATAGGATGAAAATTTATTTGGCAATTTGACAAAGTCAGCTTCTCGTGATTCCAATAACAAACCTATTAACTTAGATAATTCATCAAGGAAGGGTAATGACCTATGTAAGCAATTTTCATTTATCATTACGTAAACGGTCTATGAACCCGATAATTCATATATAATTTACTTATTAATAGCAAAAACATCATCAAAGAGTGGCCAGGGGAAAGGGAAAGAAACCGTAGAAGTTATTACAAAGGATCTAGTTCGTACCTTAATGTGAGTTAATAAAGTTGTATCGTGGCATATTAACATTTATGGCATGCGAATTACATGACAGATAACGCATGAAATTATTTTCTGCTCTTGAAATGTTAGTGTTCCAAAAGATCCTACAGGGCAATCTCTTATTATTGGTACCAGTAATTATAGTCGTATGAAGGTACGTCTATGGCAATATTTTATTGCGTTTCTGTCTATGATAGCGCCGATAAGTTCATTCTTCATACTAATTGCTATATTCTTATTTTAGAGTTCGTCCCATCGTTTAAATGAAGAAGAAAAGTTGCTAAGAGCAGAAGCGATCAAAAGAGAAAAGGAAGCAGTTCAGAGAGCATCAGATGAACGCAAATTAGCTATGCAAGAGATGGAAAAGAAACGCCTCAAGAACGAGAAACCATCAGATCTTGAAGAAGTAAGAATTTAATTCATTAGCATAATTTCGGGGACAATAGTAGAAGCGATATTGATTTAGCCTACTTTATATATTTAAAGGAAACAAATGGACAGAGAAAGGTACTGCTAGATCATGCCAAAGTGCAACTTTGTGAACAAGATGACGAAATCAAGTATTTAAACGAAGTAAGTCCTTTTTCCTCATATCCTATTAAGGAGAAAATATAGTACTAAGTGATACCTTCTTAAACTATTTGTATTGTAGTTGATATTGAACGCGAAATGTCACGCTATTCGAGATTTACAATTAAACGAAAAGCAAGAAATTAAAGTAGATGCTAAAAGTGAGCAAAGAAGATTAGATGAAATGATGGAAATTGATCGTGTAAAAGCTATAGAAGAGCAAGAAAAACGTGAAAAGGAAAGAAAGGTTGAACTATTGCGAGGTGCTCAAATACTGCAAAAGCAAATCGCAGAGAGAGAACAACAAGGGCTTTTAGAGAGTGAATTAAAAGATCAGGAGACATCTGTGAGTAGAACAGCTTGAAGTTGCTTAGATTAAGTTTGTTATATACGTCATAATTCTCCTACACAGATAAGTGCTGGTATGACTTTAATGCTAACAGTAATAATAAATTTCTATTTTTCAAAGGTTATGCTGAAATATCTAGAAAAGTTACAAGAAGAAGATTTAGAAAATCTTCATAAGAAGCGTAAAACTCAAAAGGAATTGATGAAAGAAGTTGCAATTGCTAATCAAGATTTACAAAATCAAAAAATTGTTCAGAAAGAGCAAGAACGATTAGCTGAGTTGAAAGTTATGCAATACTTGAAAGAGAGAGCGGTTAGTGAAACCATTTTGTACGCATAGATAGACGTCAATGAGCGCATAATAGACAACATTATTATGCTTGTGAATAGCTGCCTATATTGTTACTATTAACAATATTTAGCTCTGTAATACTGGCTGAAGGTATTTCTTTTACAACAAATAGGAAAGAGAAGAAGCCTACCAAGCAGAACTTGAGAAACAACGTATCGAAAAAGAAAAAGAAGTTGCGCGGCTGCGTGCTTTGCAAGAGCGTGCCAAGGACAAGCAAGCTGAACGCGATGCATTAAGAGCTAAGCGTAACCAAGAGGAAGCAGAAAGAGAATGGAGGAGGAAAGAACTAGAAGAAGCTAGAAAGAAGGCAGAACAAGAAGATATATTAAAACGTTCTAGAACCGAGCAAATAACGATGAAACAACGTAATTTCGCTATTCAATCACAGAGAGATAGAGCTGAATTCGATCGTGTTGTAAGGTGGGTTAGAGTATATAAAAAATTTGATTAGTAATTAATACAGAGTTCTGATAAAAGTCTAAATCTATATTTTATTTTATTTTTAAATAGGGCTCAACAAGAGGCAGTTCAGAAAGAACAAGAGGAGGTTGAAAAGAAAATGAAGCAAAAGAAAGTTTATTCCGATAGCATCCGCCAACAAATAGTAGAGAAAGAACAAGAAAAACTTAACGAGCGAAGATCCTTCTTCGGTGAAAGAGCGAAATTAGATGCAGAAGATGAACAACGGTAGGTCTAAGAAAATTTTAAACTATTAAATTATTTATTTTACTTGCTATAAAAAAAAATTATAAGAACGTATAAAAGGAGTTTAGGGAATTTATATCATTAAAATATTACTTGTTATGTAATAGGAAACGCATGATTGATGAAGCTAAGCAAAAGAAGTTATCAGAATTAAGACAAGCTGGTGTTCTGGATAAATATTGTATCGAGGTTGAGCGAAAAATGAAGAAAAATCCTCAAAATAAGATTTTTAAGTAAATTTATACAATTAGGTCTAGATCTTACTGTCGATTTAAATGCGTACAACGTAATTTATTACATTAGATCAATGACGTATCTCTAACAATTCTGAACATTATCGAGACTATAAAACGATAATTGCCACCTGATATTTCAGTACCTGATATGCACGCTTATATTCAGTATGATTTTTTTATAGTTGCCATATTAACGTGATGGCATCATTTGTAGCAATTATGCCATAAAAATGGGATAATTGATACATTCATACATATGAAACATTATTATGTGATGGAAATTATCAGGAATGCATTTATGCATTGAATCAGCGTAAAGCGGCAATGCTAATTTTTACGAGATCAAAACTTGTACATTAAGTATAACAATAAGTAGTTTATCAAATTATCGTCATAAAAATTTTGGATAACTGTATAATTGATAATGCTTGTGGTTTAAATGCCTTTAAGTAAACAAGTAACATAATTTTCTGCTATGGCTAATTTCATGTAAGAAATATGCAAGCTGAATCGTTAAAATATGGATATCGTATTACATCATTATCATTGATAATTAATTAGTTCGGGCATTATGAAATTAAATATAATTAACTAATCGCTAGTAGTAGGTAAAACAAGCATACGGTTCTTTATTATATATATGATAATCACTTTAACATCCAAGCTTACGCCGTAATCCTATTCTTGAATATACGGAATTATTGATCGGTTTATTGTAACTGATTTCTTCCATGTTCTAAAGTATCTATTTTATACTGTTATGGTAATATGTGTACTGAGTGTCAGTTATTGTAAAGTTTAATTTTACAGTCTGCGTTAATATTAAATGTGCAGATGTAAAGCAGTCACTAATCGCTTCCTGTGGAACCAGTACTTTGCAAATATAATCATAGTAATCGAGATTCTCTTTTCATTTTACTGTATAAAAATAAATTTCATAATACGTAATTGAAATAAAATAACTCAATATTATTTGAATTCTATCCGTTATCTTTATTTCTGTATCCATTGCTATTATATTTGCTCGACTAAATCTAACTCATGTAAGTTTTCTTTTATATTTACTCGCGACTAAACAGCATGATTGAGCTGGTTCCCAGTGCCTAGTCCTGTAATCGAGTTCCTCGATATACAGATTCGCGCATATTAATAGGAATTGTAATAATTAATCTAATGAGAAAGGTTAATTTATAAAATGCGATGAGCATCCATTCAGCGTACTGTTTAATGCAAATAGGTGAAGTATTTGAGGAAACCAGGATTTATCAGATAAAATTCAGTTGGTATTTATCCCGATATTTTTAATTATCCCCTAAATTTGTCTGAGTCGTTGTAATACCAGAGGCTTCTAATTTAGAATTTAGTCTCTGGTGATACTAAGAATCGATCGTATTAATTAATCCTAGTGGATGCCAGATATGATAGCTTGAGATATGTGCTTATTATCTGTAATAATACTGAAATGACAAAAACAAACACTTGGGCATAACATACCGTATATTTTATTTAGAACCGAAACAATAATAGTACTTATGCAAACCATATATATATTTTTATCAGAAGGAAGAAACAAAGAGTATATTCAGTCACCACATTAGACCTAGATTACCGTTAGATTAGCTAAGTAGATGTCAATTAATATTACCTATGTTGCATTATAAACATGTCTATGTTTATAACTTTCAGTTAAGTAACTAATAAGAGCTACGTTAATTTTACGAGGTAGAAAGTCATCCTGTAACTAGGCACGAATTATTGTAGAAGTAAGTTGAGTTACCGCGTAAACATACGATACTACAATTATGAAATAATCAATACAAGTGATGGCTTATGAACTCATTTTAAGCTAATTTACGTTTTGAAAATGTAACCAGATACGCTTCTACTATGCAATTGTCTTAAGAGGAATGTACGTAATATGATCGTTAGGAGTGTATTTTCATCCTTAATTTTGTAATATGTGATAAGACGAAATTTATCACATGATAGGTAAGGCAGAGTACGTGCTTATAAATACCTGTAATTAACAATAAAGTGCCAGTTACAATTATACTCTCGGAGTAATCGCTTACTGTGAAATACACAACAATAGTTAGTAATTATTATTAGAACCAAACTAACTTAAAGCCATCTTAGGTATCTGAGCACATAGTACAATAATATAATTATCCTCCACGATTTATGCTTTACATGAAATCAACTTGTTCTATTAGCCTTAATATATCATGCTTACTTATGTCTATAATACCTACGTCGCATATAAAAAAGAATAATAGCTCCTGAGACGAGGTTAGGTACTAGAATTCTTAAGAAATTCTGGTTAATCGTTGCAATTATTCCCGAACAAATGATGATTGGATTATATTAAACCATATGTAATCTTATTTTGTTGCGAAAATAATTAAAATTTTACGGAAATTATCAATGTAATTAATAAAATTGGGTTTTACTTAAGTCAATCTACAATCGAAAGTAGCAAGTAAATTATGCAAAGAGTTTCCGTTTTAGTCAAAATCCACTCCATATTTGACTATCTACAATATTCATGGCGACCTAAACCATTGCTTTCTGATGTAAATTTATTAAACAGCTTTCCAAATCCTTGCTCGCAAAACAATAATTATATAGTTCTTAGCCAAGTACACATAGTATGGCTAGGCGTTCAAACTATTCATCTCGGCTAGAACTGAAGACTTGGTTAGCAATCAGCGTGTAATCTGGAAGGATTTCAGGAACACTATAGTGCTATTTAATGGAAGTAAAGTCATGTCAAGACATCATGCTCATAGAAATATCTACTTTGTTTCTAAGGCTACCATATTACAACATTAATCAAGTTATGGGTCTACTATTTTGTTCTATAACAATAGTAATAATAACTTTTACGTGATCTACTCTTCCTAATGCAGAAATCTTCCCAAATCATACAAAATTTTACTTCTAAGTAAAATAAAATTAAGGAAATTGACTATACGTCTCGGCTAAATATATATGAGTTCGGCTACATTTCAAATCTATAATCTGCAAGACAACAGATCAATTTTTAAAAGTGTATCTCGTCGATCACTTTAATGTTAGTCGAACGCATTAAGTCTGCATTGCCTTGTTTTAATTTAGACCCTAACAGGTTGTTAAAATTAATGACAGATCCTTAATAGCACGAAGTACGTTTATGTTATCGCGAAATTTATTAGAATTAGATGATGTAAGGTATTTTAAGGTCCCAGAATTAATGCAAATCAGCAGACCTTAAAACTCTGATTTGTAATAATTTACATAGTACATAGATGAGATTATTATAGTCCATACTAACATGATTTCGATTATGCCTACATACATATGGACTAGTTTAGTCTATACCAGGGACTATTAAAAGAAAAAATTCCCCTACCGTCTAAGCAAGGTCTTTTTTAGACGGTAGGGAAATTTTGACGGAAAACGGGAGGATGGTGAAATTGTTTCTTCAGTAGTCCTAGTCTATGGGTATTGGTACAGACGTACAGACGTACGACTCATGGAATACTGGAAAAGAAGGGGTATTTCAGTCTCTGATTTTGTTAGTAATGTCCATCATAAATTTGTTTCTATACTGTATCATGGTGCGTACTGTACTGTACGTGTACTCCCTATAAGCTTACCACATTATTTCCAGTGACGTTGCTAGCAGCCAGCGGGCTAATCTGGTAAGGTGTGGCACCGGTATACAATACTAATATGATTTCGATTATGCCTACATACTGTACATATGGACTAGTTTAGTCTATACCAGGGATTATTAAAAGAAAAAATTCCCCTACCGTTTAAGCAAGATCTTTTTCAGACGGTAGGGTGTTTCTTTAGTAGTCCTAGTCTGTGGGTATATTGGTACAGACGTACAGACGTACGACTCCTAGAATACTGGAAAAGAAGGACTATTCCAGTCTCTGATTTTGCTAGTAATGTGCATTATAAATTTGTTTCTATACTGTACCATGGTGCGTACTGTACTGTACGTGTACTCCCTATAAGCTTACCACATTATTTCCAGTGACGTTGCTGGCAGCTAGCGGGCTAATCCGGTAAGGTGTGGCACCGGTATACAATACTAATATGATTTCGATTATGCCTACATACTGTACAGTACTGTACATATGGACTAGTTTAGTCTATACCTGGGATTATTAAAAGAAAAAATTCCCCTACCGTTTAAGCAAGATCTTTTTCAGACGGTAGGGTGTTTCTTTAGTAGTCGTAGTCTGTGGGTATATTGGTACAGACGTACGACTCATAGAATACTGGAAAAGAAGGACTATTTCAGTCTCTGATTTTGTTAGTAATGTCCATCATAAATTTGTTTCTATACTGTACCATGGTGCGTACTGTACTGTACGTGTACTCCCTATAAGCTTACCACATTATTTCCAGTGACATTGCTAGCAGCTAGCGGCTAATCCGGTAAGGTGTGGCACCGGTATACAATACTAATATGATTTCGATTATGCCTACATACATATGGACTAGTTTAGTCTATACCAGGGACTATTAAAAGAAAAAATTCCCCTACCGTCTAAGTAAGATCTTTTTTAGACGGTAGGGTGTTTCTTTAGTAGTCGTAGTCTGTGGTATATTGGTACAGACGTACAGACGTACGACTCATGGAATACTGGAAAAGAAGGACTATTTCAGTCTCTGATTTTGCTAGTAATGTCCATCATAAATTTGTTTCTATACTGTACCATGGTGCGTACTGTACTGTACGTGTACTCCCTATAAGCTTACCACATTATTTCCAGTAACGTTGCTAGCAGCCAGCGGCTAATCTGGTAAGGTGTGGCACCGGGATAGAAGATCGGATCCAATTCTGGACGTTGACAGTTGACACGTAATCACGTCATCATAATTTAATTTCAATATCGGCAAGGAAATTAATCGGCCAAAACTGAATAGACGCGTGTATATATATATATTATACGTTGTATAGAGCTTGGACAATAATCAAGAATCAAGTTTCTATGAAGGATATCCTCTTGACATCAAGATGGGTCTCCGTAAGGATCCCTTAGGATTCTTCTGTTTAGCTTTAACATATGGCATCGTCATCTTTTCGGATTACTGCTTTATTGTACATACTGTTATGCCGGTTCTTTCAGCTAGGTATGTAATACCATGGTGGATTGTTAAGTAGCAGTAGTGAAGTATTTTTTCCAGCAGATATTAACTACATGTAAATAGAAAGAAATGAAGTTATGCCTCATGCGATATAACACAATAATTTCATTAGCTACTGTCATGTCGGCGTTATTAGGGTACATAATCTCGGCTTTGCAATCATTCATACCATCGACTACTACAGTACCGTACAGTCGTTGTACCATGATGGTACAGACCCAGTATACTGTACAGTATGCCACTACCATATTCTGCAAATGATCTACTATGGATACAGTTCGTTATACAAATGTGAACGATTACTTTTTTCTTTACTGCACAGTATTGAAATTGAAACTACTTAAACTTTAACATGGTATCCCATCTGTCAAGCTAATCTTCGACAAAAGTTCTCCTTAGAATAGTTCAGACAAATGTTCCATACATAAACATGTTCAATTTCGCCTTTGTACTGTCTAAGGATCTACATCAATTGTGATACCTTCATTTTTGTACAGAAAGTGACTAATCGATTGATTTTCTTAATATAATTATAAAAAATTGCAGCTTATGGGGCTCCTTCCACATTATCGTTTTTAATGTATTCGTCTTCCTATTGGTCTATTCACATTTCGTTGCAACAACTGCTGATCCAGGTTATTTAAAATGTTCAAAATAACGTTAACATCGTTCTTCCATAATGCTAATACTGTTTAGAAATGTTTTTTAACATGATCTGAAGATATTTCATTGTCTCATTTCTTGCTATCATTATCATTAACTTATTGCATGACTTCCTAAATTGATTTGGATTATCTGCAATTGAAACATATTAGTAATGGCTTCAAGTAAAAGCTAACTTAATTGACTAAATCAAAAGAGTATAATAGGATATATATATATATGTAGGGGTATAAAATGTTCGCTGAATATTTCATGACTTTCTTTATTTCTACAAATAATTCATAAAATTAATAAAACCACTTCATTGTCTATGCTTTCCAAATATTTAGGTTTTGTTCCATTACCTACAATTAAATTAGACTTTTCTGACCAACGAATGCAGGGTGCTATCAAAACACCACAGGTAATAGTTTTGTGTCATAGCGTATCTGCTAATAAATTGCGTCTTCTCTAATATTGATGCACTTATATGGAGTTAAATTATCAGCGAAGTATGTGCAAACGCATACAGTATCTGCTAAAATTATTAAAAGTCTTTCTTTTTTCTGGATAAATTTAATTTATATTGGGTATAAAGTGAAGTTGCATTCTACAGCATGTGTTCTACTGTCAATCACGACTTAGTTATCTTGCTATTTTTTTTAATTTATTTATTGCCTGAAATGATAGTTCATGTTTTATCTAGCACATATTGGTAATATACAGTATACAGTACTTGCTTAAGCTTAGAGCTGTTCTAATATGTAGTAAAATCCTTCTTGAATAGGGCTCAGAATGGAGCTTATGCACCAAATGCGAAACTTATAGGCCTCCCAGAGCTCATCACTGTAGAACATGTAGTCGATGCATTAGGAAAATGGATCACCACTGCCCTTGGATTAACAATTGTGTTGGCGAATGCAATCAGAAATATTTTATTTTATTTTTACTCTATACGGGTATATTATTCATTGACGAATGCTTTCTAACTTAATTTACTATCTAATTTTATGATAGAAATTTCAAATATCCGCGATATATATCTATTTCTCTATTAATTGCATTAATATAATCGTAATCTTGATACTTTTTCCTGATCAATTGTGCAAACGTGCAATAACATATTTAGCTATGGCATCTGTTTACGCGATAATCTTCTGTATTGTATTATTTATGGCAAAATGCGATAACTGCGACGAAAACTCACCTCGCCATGTGCACATGTACTGTATCGTTTTGTTGCTGTTAATCTGCATTTGATTATACGTACGTTAATAATAATGCACACGACAACTCTAACTGTTCCACTATATGATTCTTTAAATTTTAGAATTTTTTCGACGATATTGATAACGTTTGCGTTCGTCTTCGCTTTATTTACAATTTTAATTTTGTACGATCAGGTATGCTACGATTAATATAATTCTATTTTGTAGTAATTACTTAATTATTATTATTGCTGTAGCTATTTTAACTAATGCAGTAAGGTCAATTTATTTATTATGAAAGGCAAAGGAATGTATTCAAAATGTTTTTCAATCTTCATCAAATACCTCTACATCTTTTATTAATGCTAGATTACGTCGATTTTAACCGATATCACCTCCGTAGAGTACGTAAAAAAAGAAAACAGATCACGTATTTTAAAATCTAAGATGGCTTTACTATCTGAAGTTTTTGGAAGGGGTATGGAACAAACTTATACAAAACTACAATGCTTGGATTACATAGCAATCTTCACATCATTTCTTTTACTTAAACTGGTTTTGTTTTGCAATTGTGACAGGAAGTTATTGGACCTGGCTACTTCCATTTTGTGGGGATTCCGCTTCTACAACGGCAATAAATACCATGTATGAGGTCTAACATATATATATATTCAAACGAAGAGAAGAATGGAAAAATGTAGGAAAGCTTCCTGGATTCTTGCACCATCATATCATAAATAATTTATGTGTAAATTATACAAATTAGGTCATAATTTTTTAAACAAACGAAAAGTAATAAGCGGTCTCATATATATGTAAGTAAGTCAGCTTCAGCTTTATGTATATGTAATAAAGTATACCGTATGTATTAGCCTGTAGCGGTAGATTCGATTATATTGTTTAAAAAGGATCTGTAGAAAACTTTTACAATTGTACAACATGTGCATTTCCTTTTTAAGTTTCAGAGCAATAAGTTTTGTTTATTCTAAACCGATTGAAAGATCTGTACCGCGTAATACTTGGATAGCATTTTAAATTGATGTTTAAGTATCCAGTGTCTGATAAAAGAAAATTGCAGTTTTGGCCTAACTATTTCTGCAACTTGTTAATAGATTTTACGTTGTGTACGTACTATTTCGTAATATCGCTTTTAAAGATTTGCAATAAAGTACTTTCAATGAATGAAATTGACGTAACAGAATATTATGGTTGTTAAATAAAAAGTGAATTCAAATTTATGTTCTTATCTCTATATTTCAGTTTTTGCTTCTATACTTCGCCATATAACCATTATGAATAAATTAGAAGCTTTAGTATTGAATAGGAGGACTATTTTAAATGTAACCAATGGAGGTAACAGTATAAGTTATTTTTGTAATTTTAACTTCGTTGCGTCGATATGCTATCCTATAAAATACTTTCTATTGCGGGCTAAATTTACCTGTCGTTTGCAAGTATCGACTTTTTTGAGTTGAATCATTGTGGGAAACTATAAATGACTATTCATTAGTATTATTTTAATATCCTATTTTGTTTCACTTCGTTACCTGTAGCTGCTCTACTTGAAGTACGGGTCTGATGAATTTAAGTGAAAATATATCAAAGTACAAATTTAACGAGTTTGAATAATGATGTAGATTAGAAGTTGTTTTGATTGCCAGTATAAGATCATTATTATTGCCATTAAAATCCCCACCATTTCTTATTTCAATGATTTATGAGTAAAATAGTTGCCTAGCTGCTGTATAATCTAAAAAATAAATCGACTATTACTTATCTTCGCAGCACAGGATGTCAGGTATAGATAAAATTTGCGCAATTAATGTGATCTAATGATTACTACAGAGATCTTATCAAAGAATCAGGTTGCCTGTAATTTACAAATGAAATCAAAAACATTAACTATTTTAATAAGTTTGATTGCCTTTATGTAAATTACGTTAAATAATTGCTCCAGGAGTTACTAAATCAATACAATGCCTATCTAAGGACTGATAGCGTAACGCAATAAGTTATTTTTTGCTTATAAGCTGATCAGTTTCGTACAACATAGTTGCATTTGTAATAGTACTAAAATGTACATTTAATACTAGGGAGTTGCCGTAGGTTATATATATATACGTGCATTTATTTCTGTATACTAAGAAGTTACCGTAGGTTATCTATACGTACATTTAAATATTTCGGTTTGTGCTTGTATTTTCCAGGTATTATGAGAATAATGTTAATAAGGTTAATGGTAGGCCTTTGTTAGAAGACTGAATATTTCATCGATTAGTGCATTCTATAGTCTAAGCATTTAATAGCTTGAAGTAATTAAGATTACAAGGGATACTTTCGGGATAAGTATATTTCTATAAATATAAATGCAAATATAAATATTAAAGCCGATATTAAGGCTATGATGTCATTTGTATCAATAAAATCCTAGTATTTAGTCTACATTGACAAGAAATAGTTTGACGCAAGCCTTAATTAGTTAGCACGTCGCAAAAACATTCGATAATGCTTATAACAATTGTAATAAGGTCAAGTGCAACTATAACATTCTTGATCAATCTAATATACAATTCTCTACTTGCCAATTGTAGCCTACTGCCATCATTAGCATCACCATGATTGCGTTGGTTTGTGCGATTTATGATAAAATAGTACTGTACCACAAACAATCATTAATTACTGTGCTGTCACTGGATAAGATGAATTTTTTAACCCAATGATCTTTTATGCTTCCTTATGACATCACAGTATTTCACTAGTAAAGATTGCAAAAGTTACGATATTATGTTAAGAAATAAGTAGTTTCAGTAAGCAGTCTGTCTGTATTATGTATAGGCATGACGCCTGAATAAGATTTAACTTTAATTAACAAGTAACGTAGATCGCACTAAAGTTGTGAACTAAAACAAATCGTAAATCTCCTACAGCGTTGATTTACAATATAATCGGTAGTTATTAGCGTCTAGAATACCGGTGCTTAAGTGACTCATATAATTACGGTATTTACCATGGAGATATGAACTAAGTAATTTCATGTATATTGAGAATAGAAGTTAACCTTGATGTTGTTTATAATAGGCTATCATGATTCTCATTTCGGTGCTTATAATTTTAAGAAATATTTTATATAAATATTTTTTGACCGAACAGTAGATTTCTATCATCCAATCAGTCTGCTTTAATAAGCTATGGATATTATTCAACATACTGCAGTTTAATTTCTCAGTAATTGAAAGCATATAAACGAAGTTCAATTTTATTTCTACGCGAATGATTTGTAAGGCTTTGGCGTTTGAAGGTTTATTCTGGAGTTTTGTTTCTGAATATGATCATGGTGTTAAAGTTCTTGATTAAGGCAAACATTATAAATTCAACACTTAACGATACGCGCTGCTTTCTTCAACTAAGATGTTCGTTCTATTATATAACGTAAGGAAATTTGCTCGTTCTTTATAATATAATTATTTTTTTTATTTCTTAAGTAACGAAAACTGCAGTGATACGCCATAGTTATGATGAAATGTGGTAAATATTACCTTTAGGAGAGATTAAAATTAATCCTAGAAAAATTGCAAACTAGATTAGTCATCTGTACCGATTTATAAGCAATAGGATAAGGCATAAAATTTTTTGATATAACAACACAAATACATTTAGAAAGTAAAACTGTATGTTAGTGTGAACAAATTCAATCACTTTTGAATTCGGAAAAGCTGGACATGTTATAAAGGTGTTGATGTGAATAATAGCGGATAATTAATTTCGATACCATATGCTCGTTAGGTAGGGATAAAATAAGGTTGAAGTAGGTCTTTATGCTTTTTCTACAGTTTCTAAAATAATGGATTAGCGTAGGATTATTACTGTCCATCATATGTGTCCATTCATAAAGCTGTCGATCTTATTGAACTTTGTACCGATTTTATATTTTGTTGAAATATTAATAAACTCCACCTACACTTTTTAGATATAAGGCATCATTATACAAATAGTGTTGGCCGACATCCTTTATGAAAATGGGAATATAAAAGTAATCAAACCCAATAATACAAACCATTCATAGTCGGATAATAAGTATTAGTACTTTATACTATATGATATCATTCTGTACAACTTTGATCTTTTGACGAATTTTCTCATTTTCTTAATGCCCTTTACTCTTTACATTCTGTCTAGTCACAAAAACTTGAGAATTAGAGACAAGAAATGGTATATTTTTAGCACAGCACATTCAAGATTGTTATTCGCATTTTGGTTATGTTCTCAACTGGAAATGCAGTGTTTTCTTCTACATGCATTACAAAAAATTCAGTGGAACTTTGCGTTCTTTGATGTAAATCCTGTTATTCTATAGAAAATTGATAAATTAACTCCGTGTAAGATCAAGTATTGTTCAAGATTTATCCTTTTCTAATTTTTGATCAGATAAATGTGACACAATGAATCGACTATCTTAATACTAGATAATTCCGATTGTAACTGTAAATAAATAAAGAAAAAGTAAAGATTGCCAGATAGGATCGATCTCCGAATTGAACATACAGTGTTGAGGTGTTTATATTATATTGTACACAGTTTAATAAACTATGTACATAACATGCAAATTATAACAAACGGCGTATCAACAGTTGACCCATTGGTTCAGCCATCTTTAATCTAATCATTTCAACTTGAGTATTTTATGCTATGATATGGAAAGAATATTTGTCACGATTATATTGCAGTTGCTGAACTCATCGCTCTTACTATCAAGAGAGATTATTTATCCATGATGACTCACTAAATTAGCGATGAAATATAATTCAAGGGGAAAAAGATTAGCACCGATGATAAATAAATTTTATTAGTCATTGTGATATCTTTTGTATCAACCTGTCAAGCTGATGACACTGATAAAGAATTAACACTCCAGATGGTGGACTAATAAAAGTTTTTTGATACTCTATGTCAGAAACTAATTTAGAAGGCTTGCAAAGATCTCTCTCTCTCTCTCTCACCCCTCCCCCCCTAAAAAAAAATGGCTCTTAGCTAAGCAATTATACTGTATTGATCTACTGTACTTAAGCAACTCATAGTTAGGTCAAACATGTTCGATTTTAGATATAGTAGTTATTGCAACCTTACGGGTAATTAATGTATTGTCAATTTGTAATACAGAGCAATTATCGTTATTCAACTAAGAGCCTTAAAGTCGATCGGTAAAGATAAAGGTGAGATAGAATGGCTTGGATTGACTGTGAGTTTCTATTAAGGCAATAGTTTTCTTCTTCTTTTATTTGTTAGTTCTCACTTTAAAAATCATCTGCTAGATTCAATACGTTACGTAGTTGATTAGGTGCGTGATTTTAATGATTTTAATATACGCGTCTAGCATCCACAACAGGCCTCTCGTTACACGTATAAAATATTTAAAAGGACAAATTCAGTCTAAAGTGGCATACACTACAGTATGTAATAAGTTATCAATAAGTATTTATGTCGTACTCATGGACTATTTGTGAGAACTGGTCAACATTGCTTGGCTGGTAACTTATAGACCTACAAGCAAATCGAAGTATCTCCAGTATGGAACCGTATAAAACAACATCATAACTCATTACAGATGAAATTCTACTTTCGTATCGCCAAATGAATAATCCATTCCATAGCTAATGGTATTGACTACAGTTCACTTTTAACATAAGGTTCAAATCATTTTAGTATTGCTGTTTTTGTTAAAGCATTGTAACGTAGTCGGCCTTGGGAAACTTCACCATATATGGTATAACGTGCTGTATACTTTGATTACGTGTCGTCAACCAGTGAAACTAGAGTCTATGCATTACCCTATACGGTAAATAGGTTTTGGTTGTGAAGCTGTGACGGTGTTAAAAGCAGGTGTTGAATTAGAAGTTTGCCTTCAATCCTTTACGCATTCCACCTGCCCATAAAAGTAAAAGAAAGAAATAAGTGGGAGGCTATTTTGGGCGATGGCTGTTGATGATGAACGTAAAACCTACATACTGTATGTATATTTATCCTTGTGCTGTGGGAGATTCAACGATGACGTAATAAGTATAGTAAAGTTCATAGGGATAATGAAAGTCAGGAAATATTGTGTTTTTACAGTCATTTTTGACTGACTCATTTTTGGACTTGGTGGTGAGCAGCATCGCAATCAATGATGCATAGTATGATGAATTGATGACGAAAGTTTATTTTGGGTCTTTCCAATTGATCCTGTTATTTTTCCTTTGATGACTACATACAGTAGAATTGAATATTTGTCATTACAGTCCAATACTATGTCATGGCGTTGGGGGGATCTACTGTAGGTGTTTTACCTGCGTGGGTGACCCCTGGAAGCACGAGCACTAAAGGTAAATCACCTCTGTGATACTCAAATTGACAGTACTACTGGGTAGACAGTACAGTACAGTAGGTCAATGATCGCTTTCCTATACGAAATTGGATGGAAAGTTTAGGTTGACTTTCTTCCAATCCAGTAAATATTAGGGTGTGTACAGTACACGACACTACAGTACTGCGTACTGTAGTATTGTACTCTTTGTACTGTAGCTCAATGCAAAAGTTTCGTGGCTGGTACAGTACCGTACTGTACAGTTTAGTAGACGCCCCTTTTCAGAATTTGTAGCAGACTGCCCTGTCTGGGTCAGCGCTCTCCAGTGGAGTGTACAGTATGGCTATTAGAGATTTTGAAAGACTTTTCAGAATGTGTTGTTTTCAAAGCACACCTGCCTCTGGTCTAGACAGTCTGGTGAACTGTACTGTACACTGTACAGTACTGTACACTACAGTATTAACGTGCTGTGTAAGTACAGTACAGTATACTGTAGTCACTCGGCGAGCCCCAAATTGAAGTACTGTACTATACAGTACATGGTACCGTGTACAGTGTGCATATGGTAGCCAAAGGACACTCCCAGTAAGAGGGAAACTGTACTGTACACTGTACAGTCCTGGTGAATTCTAAGCCAGTTTCTATAGTACCGTACTGTGCTGTACAGTAGACTGTAAGCTAGTGTATACCGTCAATGCAGAACGCGATGTTCAACCTGGTCATTTAAAATCAACACCAAAGAGTTGTCTACAGGCTCATTTTTTCGTCCGCTGAGTTAAGTTGAGCATGTCGGCAGACCGACGGTGATCATATGTGGTCGTCAAGTCGGATATAGTATACAATCATGGCGCTAGAATGGCCTTGTTACAGTTCTTATCCGATAAGTGTCAACAACGAACTAGGTAAGCACATGTTAAAGAAAAAGCCTGAACCAATGTATTGATTATTTGAATCAACCAGTGATGTGGACACTTGAATTTCTATCATGGACTGTATTTTGATCGTCGCTCTCGCAGTAGTTGTGACTTGGTGTGCAACATCTTGTGTAATGTGTACTACTATATAGTTCTATTTGAAAAATGCTGCCTTGGACAGCTCAAATCTGTCTTCCATTCTCCAGTGGTTGTGTGTTACGTTTTCCACTTGGTGTAATAGCTAATGCACAGTAAGTGTATGAGGAAGGGTAGTGCCTGAAAATAGAGTATGTCGAGTTGAAATCGCCAGCTGTATCTTTCATTTCCAAACTAGAGTACGACCGTACACAGTGCTATGCATACCATCGATATCTATCGCTACCGTGTGTATCGCCTAGGCAATATGGAAGATTGAACGCCTAGTCTAGTATTGTATGGTGGATGGTCGTCTTTCACAATCAATCTCTCTATCATAGCAGCTTGCATAGTCACCATTCAATTTTCATTCACGTAAATCGTTTTCTAGCAGCGTCCATGCTTGAATATTGAATTTCTCTTTCGTCCTGGACGATGGTTGACGCCAGTTGGTGACGAGACTTCTGCAAGAGTCGTCCACAGCACTTGATCGTAGTCTTGTAGTCGATCGTACATGTATTGTCTCAAGTATCACTGGCAAGTCTCAACCCGATAACCCCTGCAGTTGGTCATTCGTTCACTACTGTCTCTTCAATTGCCAAACGTGTTGGCTTTCAACCTTTTGAATTTCGTCCTGGACGATGGTTGACGCCAGTTGATGACGAAACTTCTGCAAGAGTCGTCCACAGCACTTGATCGTAGTCTTGTAGTCGATCGTACATGTATTGTCTCAAGTATCACTGGCAAGTCTCAACCCGATAACCCCTGCAGTCAGTCATTCGTTCACTACTGTCTCTTCAAGTGCCAAACGTGTTGGCTTTCAACCTTTTGAATTTCGTCCTGGACGATGGTTGACGCCAGTTGGTGACGAGAGTTCTGCAAGAGTCGTCCACAGCACTTGATCGTAGTCTTGTAGTCGATCGTACATGTATTATTGTCTCAAGTTTCACTGGCAAGTCTCAATCCGATAACCCCTGCAGTCAGTCATTCGTACAATACTGTCTCTTCAAGTGCCAAACGTGTTGGCTTTCAACCTTTTTCTCTTTGGCCAACAATTTTTTCATTTATTTTTCATTTTTTCTTTGACCCATTTTTCTTCTTAACAGCTATGATTTGTGTCTTCCATTACTGGGTATGCTAACTATGGAAGTGCTCAGAATATTTTTCAATTTTTATTTTTTTCACTGATGTTGTTTGACTCAACCTTGAAATATTATTTTTTTTCTTTCTCCCTCCCATTTCGACATACGTGGTGAAATGGACCCATACATTCAGCAGTGGTGTAATCGACGAAAAGACAAGACTGTAATAGAAAATCAATAGGAAAAGAAAGAAAACAATACGGTACTTGAATTTCTACACAACTCAATGGTTGTCTTGATTTCTTCATTGATTGCATCCTCTATATATGCTCTTATTTTTGCCTTGATTAGAAATTAAAAAGACACTCAGTTTTACTTGCAAATACTGAAAGTGATCATTGGATAGCCAAATTCTGATTAGGCCTTGCAAAGTGTCAATTTAGGAAAATTAATTCTTGACCGTCCATGTTGAAAGAGAAAAATTGCATTACTGTCATTGATCAGAGGAAGAAAATGGATCAAGACGACAGACATAATCATCATCATGGCCATAACGATGATCGTTACGATGGTGGCGACGAAGATGACATCAATATATCGCCTTCTCTATTAACTGGTAATCCAGTGGCAAATAATAACCATATTTGCAGCAATATCATGAGTAACAACAATAGTAGTAATAATACTAGTGGTAGTAGTAGTAGTCTTAGTAGTCATGAAAGTAATCAATTAAATTTAGATGAGATGCTGAGTTTAGCTTGCCGCCAAGGCAAACAAGAAATGGTCGAATTGTTATTAGAAAATGGCGCTGGTTTAGATTACAAAAATAAAGTCGGTAATACAGCATTGATTGAAGCCTGCAATCAAGGCCATGCTGATGTAGCAAAGCTGCTCTTGGAACGGGACGCTTCCAACGTGGATATTGCTACAGATTGGACATCGGATAGTGCCCTAACGTGGGCTTGCACGTTAGGCAATGAATCCATTGTCAAGCTCTTACTGGAACGTGGTAGTGACACAGAACATCGTACTAAAGATGGCTGTACAGCATTAATGTTTGCTGCTTTAGCTGGACATGACGCTATTGTGTCATTATTGCTTGAACATGATGCCGTTGTCAATGTTGTTTCTGATAGTAATCATGATAGCCCTTTAACTTTTGCCTGTTGGAAAGGTCACGATAAAGTAGTTGCCCTTTTATTGCAATACGGTGCTCACATTGAGCATCGCACAAAAGAAGGCTTTACACCGTTAATGTTTGCTGCATTAGGCGGTCATTTAGCTGTTGCTGGAGAATTATTAAGACATGGTGCCCAACTGAATGTCCCAAGTGGTAGTAACAATGATATCCCACTTACAAGTGCTTGTTGGAAAGGCCATGATCATATCGTTAAATTACTACTCGATTTCAATTCTAATATTGAACACAAGACTAAAGACGGTTGTACACCATTAATGCTAGCTGCCAGGTAAAAAAATATATACTATAAAATACCTACACATCATCAATTTACAAGATTTGGATATCGACCATTAAATGTACAGTTACTATTTCCCACTACGATACGCAATACTCATGATCACTTGAGTATAGTTTACATTGTTGACGCTATTTTTGTTTTTTTTCTTTTTCATTTTGGACTTATACTTTTTTGGATTTTATTATGTAGAATAGCGGTTAAACAAATTATTCTCTTTTAATGTGGTATAACGATAACCTAGTTTTAATGCCTACGAGTGTTTGACAGAAACGCTATGAATTGCATAAGATTTCGCAATGCAGCTACCTTCTACTGTATCACGTCTATAAATATCCTGGTATTGTTATTGAGCAAACAATTACAGTACGGAGCGATCTGTACTACTATATTCACTATAGTGTGAAAAGAAAGAGTGTACACTCGAAGTTATAAACTGCACTATATAAAATGATAATTATAATTAATCAAGAATTAGACATATTGTACAGTAATGCTATGGTATCGTGAAATGAAAGTTAAACAACATATCTTATAGTAAGAAACCAAGTCATTGATAAGGTTTACATTTAAGTGTCAAGATGAAAACATACTGTACTGTACAGTATATTGCTATACTGTATAAGAGTAGATCTACTCACGATGAATAACAAATAGAGTTGAATCAGATTCAAGCTCTAAAACAGCAACAGCGAACACTATTACTATTGATAATTATCGGAAAATTGTAGACTAGCGCGGACGTAGACAATTATCATAAAAAAAGTAGTCATGGTGTATACTGTACAGTCTGTACAAGTATAGGTGCCGCCGTTACTTTTGTTGAGGTTTGAATAATATTATTATTAATAATGATATAGGACATCTTTTGTTATTCTCTGAAACCAGGACTTGTGTCTGTTATTCTTGTTATTAAAGTCACTGGTGTTAAGTATTGTACTTCCCTTAATTGCTATTACTCTGTATCACTGTATTGCATTTTAAGTACTGTAGGACTTCTATTCTTTATTTCTTTTCTTTAGTTATACTGTACAGTACACAGTAGTTTGTTAACCCATACTTTTAAATGCTATTCATAAAATAAACCTTATTGAATTGCAGCCGCGGTTAAAACTCACTTTGATAATACTTACGACAAAAATGATCTATTTTCCTCTGTCTAATTTGTATTAAAAACTAACTACTTACAGCAATCGATTTTACAGGTAACTTTCAAATACAGTATTCATTGCATTCATTGAATTATGTTTATATTTATCATTATGAATAGACGTACGTACTTTAGTACCAAATTTGCTGTGCTGAACCACTAGTGTACAGTGGTAGATATTGCCTCATCATCAAATGATTATAAAATACATTTTATGTAATATCTCATTTTTTTCGTTCAAATCTAACTTTCGTTTCTCGATGGTTATCATTTAATTGATTTATTGTTGAATGAAAATTTATATATTGAAATCTCTTTTTTTGTCTTCTTTCACTGACGATAATAGAGAGGGTCACTTTGATGTGGCCATGTTGTTATTAGATAGTGGAGCGGAAGTGAACGTTGCCTCAGGCAGTGAAAACAATACGCCGTTGACATTAGCTTGTTGGAAAGGTGAGATAATTTTTTAAAATATCCAAATAGGACGTATGATATGAATCAGTGTTTTCGACCATTGTGCTATACGCTTATATTCATATTTGGAGATTTTCGTAATCTTCTGTCGAAAACAACAGCTACCAGAAATACCTCACTGCCGTACTTTACGTATATTCAATAATCAGTGAATGAATTGCCCCCATATTAAACTGTACAGTAGTTCCTTTTAATTAATTAAAAGAATTGGCAGTAGACGTAGACCCGGCCCATTTTATTAATAGAGTAGTAATGTCAGTAATTTTAATCAATAAAATAAATTCCTATTTTTTGACTCGTGTAAACACATAGGCCATCATAAAGTTGCTGATTTATTACTTCATTACGGCGCTAATATGGAACATCGTAATAAAACTGGCTGTACGCCATTAATGTTGGCTGCTAGGTATGTATATTGTTAAAATGTAATCACTATTTTCTTTACTGATCAAGACTAAATCACTACGGTAACAGAATGAATCTCTTTACTTGACTGCAACTTTTATCATAACGTAATACTTTATTTATAGGGAAGGTTACATTGAAACGGTAAAAGTTCAGTTAGATAAGGGTTGCAAAATAACAGAACCTTCTGGTAGCAATGATGATACTGCATTAACTTTAGCATCTTGGAAAGGTAGTATGAATGTATTACTGAACTACATTATGCCTCGTAGTTTATGCTAAAAAACATTCGTAACATTTTTCGGACTATAGTATCAATTAGTTATCATAATATTTATTTTATATCTAACCTTAGAGCATGTGATAGATTGACTTCTTAGTAATTCAATTTTTTTTTTTAATCACAATGCCTATATCGATTTATTCGAATATGTACTTAAATACTATCCTTTATATAATAATGATTAGGTCATTACGATGTAGTAGAATGCTTGCTAGAATATGACGCAACTAATATTGATCATCAAACCAAGACTGGCTGTACAGCTTTAATGGAAGCTGCAAGAGAAGGTCATTATCGTGTTGTCGAATTACTGATTGAACATGATGCCGATATTGAAGCACCTGACAATTATGGCCAGAATCCGCTTTTTATGGCTTGCTGGAAAGGTTTGTGATATTCATGGATTGTTCTATATGCCGTATTTTTGTGTTTAAATATAGAAATGTTTGTTTCGTAACTTTCAGATCATAATCTAACTTAAGAGGCTAGACTCTAAAATGTGTATTTTTTTGTTTTTAAAATATTTATACATGTTTTTAGGACAATATAAAGTTGCAGAGCTACTGCTTCATTATGGCGCGAATAGGGACTGCCGTACGAAATCGGGAATAACACCTTTTTATCAAGTAAAATTTTTAAGTGTGAATATAAAGTAGAAATGCAAACCTCTTTTTTAATTTCTTATACTTTACAAAAATAAGGCTTGCAGAGACAATCATGTAGCAGTTGTTCAATTACTCCTTGACTTTGGCGCAAGTTGTAATGCTCCTTTCCCCAATACGAGGTACGCTGTATGTAGATTATGTTAATAGAGCACATTAGTTTTATAGACCTTAATTCATATTTTTGTCGACAATAATTTCAGCTCAAACTATTGCGTATTTTTTGTGTAATAAATAAATAATAACCATATTATTATTAATCATTAGAGATTACCCGTTAACATTAGCTGCTGAACGTGGTCATGTTGACCTAACGATGCTTCTACTATCACGGTATGTATTATCTTTTATTACGGTGGCGAGTTTACGAAAATATTAAAAAATACAGTAGCTGTTGTTAAAATCTAAAATAAATGATTAATTGCCTCGAATTAGCGGCGCTAACGTGGACTGTCGAACAAGAAAAGGCGTTACACCATTTTGGATCGCGTGTAAAGAAGGCCATACAGAAATTGCACAAGTTTTAGCTCAACATGGTGCTGACGCTGAGGTAAAATAATTTGCTGTTTCAGTGCATATGTTTTATTAGATGGTAACGTAAGAAATCTAATAAGATTTCGTTTCCACAAAATTAAATGTAATTACAGGTTGTCGACGTAAGAAACTGCTCAGCCTTGGTTATTGCTTTCCGCAGCGGACAAACCAAAGTAAAGATTGTGTATTGTATTATTAGCGGTTACGATACGTTACCTTATCTCAGAGAGTAAAATATTTTCTTAGATCGAATGTGGAATATTTTGCAAGCCAAATGAAGTAGGTAATAAGGTTTTAATTTATGTACACTATTTTCATATAGATCGTAGAATGGCTACTGCAGATAGTATCAAACTTTCCTTCCGATGTTGAATGCCAGAAAAGTTTAACTATTCCAAATCAAGATTCGACAGATGAAGATTTGCTATCAACTCGTGCTAAATGTCTGGAAATGATTTTAAAGGTATTATAACTAAGTTTATTTATAATTTTGTAAAATTTAGCTATTTCTGTTCTTAATTGTAGCAATACTGTACACTCTCTGATGCATATAGGCAAAACACGCCAGGGAACAAGATGCTTTAAGGAATGCTCAGATACTTTTTGAAGTCAGTGGCTATTCAGTAAACATATTAAAGATTTTTATATGCATAAATCAGTGTGCTTGGTATAATAATACTGACATATGTTGCATACTTTATTATAATTCGTAGGAAATTGAAGCCGAAAAAAATAGGGAAGTTGTTCGTCGTAAAAAGGCAGCTGCTAAAAGGCGCGATAAAAAGAAGAAAAGGAAGGAAAAAGACGGCGAAGATTGTACGGAAAGCCTTCATTCTCTCGATCATGAGATAATAGATAACGATAATCTCATTATGGATAAAAGAAGTGATAGTGTGGGTATGAATGATGATGAAGATTTAGATGCAATGATTAGTAGCGGTACTGTTGATGCCGTAGATCAATCAAGCTATGATATTGACGTAGAAGCTAAAGAGAGAAATAGCGCAGAGAATGAGGATACTAACTCCCCTAGCGAGTCTTCTGATGAGAATGATATCGAAGAGCAAGAGCCATCGAATAGAGCAGCTACACCAGAGATTAATAATTGTATTTCTTCCAATGACACAGCAGAAACGGTACAAAAACAAATGGAACTAATGACAATACACAAAGTTAATGCAACGAATAAGGAACTGAATTCCAAAAATACTCCAAGGCATACTATAAACTCAATTATTGGTGATTGCTATGAGAACGTTGAATCAAATAGAACAGATTATGATCCTCGGCTTCATGAATCCTTTAATATTGCTAAATTGGATGATATA